GTAGAGTACAGTGTTGTAAAATGTCGCAGAGTAGAGTACAGTGTCGTAGAGTAGAGTATTGTAGAGTGTAGAGTGTCGTAGAGTGTCGTTGAGTAAAGTAGAGTAGAGTAGAGTGTCTTAGAGTAGAGTAGAGTGTAGTAGAGTAGAGTAGAGTGGGTAGAGTAGAGTGGGTAGAGTAGAGTGGGTAGAGTAGAGTAAAGTGGAGTAGAGTAAAGTAGAGTAGAGTAGAGTAGAGTAGAGTAGAGTAGAGTAGAGTAGAGTAGAGTAGAGTAGAGTAAAGGAAAGTAAAATAAAGTAACGTAGAGTATAGTATAGTAGAGTGGAGTAGAGTAGAGTAGAGTAGAGTGTCGTAGAGTAGAGCAGAGTGTCGTAGAGTAGAGTAGAGTGTCATAAAGTGTTGCAGAGTACAATAGAGTAGATTGTTGTAGAGTAGAGTACGGTATCGTAGGATAGAGTAGAGTGTTGTAGAGTAGAGTGTCATAGAGTGTCGTAGAGTGTCGTAGAGTGTCGTACAGTAGAGTGTAAATGAAGGTATTCATGAAGAGATGAAGAAAGATCCTAAAGTGCGTGAAGGGGGGCAGGCGCGGAAGCCATGAATGGAATGCGTGAACCTCAAAGTGTTTGAGGGGCTAAGAGAAAAGCCGGCGCAGCGCCGCCCCGATGAAGTCGTAGGGCTACTGTGCTAAGGAAAGGAATGCACGGCCTAAGGATGACGCTTAGCCTGCGCATGTAACGGAAGAAAAAGGCTCAATGAACTCCCTGGACTGCTTGAGTATTGGAAGGAGCAATTGCCTGCAAACACGACAAAGTATCAAGAAAACTACGCTTGCGAAAAAATCAGTGAGACTACCACCCAGCGTGAGGGCTGAGCTACATCCCCAATGTCAAAGCTCTCTCGCTCGATGGTCCACCCCCATCCATCTCAAAGCACTAGGTGGGGGTGACCCTGTGACGAATGACCCGCGCCCTGAGCATAAGTGTGGGTGGCCCGAGCCAACTGGGACCCGCAGTGGGGTCGACACAGGCTCGAAAGTCTTACGGGGTTTGGCCCTACAACGGGACGCAGTGGGTGGGGGGAACGGGGTTGGGATCGGAAGAGGGAAGGGGGGGGAGGAGATTGGGGTCCGGGAATGGGTGGGCAGGAGCAGGGGAGCTCAGGTTCGGGATCAGGGGAGGAGGACGAGATCGGGAGCGG